TTGTGTACCTGATACGCGAGAGGAACATGCAAATTGGACCCGTTTCATGTTACTGGAGTTGTTGTGGTCCCACATGCATTCAGGTCTAATTGGGGGAACAGAGTTTGGTTCTACTATGCAAAAGCAAGCTGCAAGCTCATGTAACTCAAGTTGTCTGATGGTATTAAAGGGGTGTGGCGGTGAGAAAAGTTTTGCAGGGGAAGGTGTTTTGGCCGGGGGGGGGGGGGGGGGGGGGGGGGGGGGGATGATCACACACAATTGCAAAGTCAGGGGTGAAATCAGAACTTGGACGAGAGGAATTCTCTTTATCTGCATGTTAGCATTCAAGAATTGAGTGAAATTGGTTGGGGAGAGTCTTCAATTCTTTTAGCTCCTCCTACCCTTTGAGGGGGAGTCTTCTTGAAATGAAATGATACCATCATTTCAGGTTGAAAATGTCCATAATTAACCCCCAAAAGGTTGCAGGGCGAAGCTTCCATCACAACTTGTTGGAATTTTTTTGTGAAAAACTGCACATAATACATAAAACCTGCGTAAATAAAACACATTGTGTGTACTCGTCTTTTGTGTCCATTTACTCAAAATTGCCAAATCTTCAAATGCAGACATACACCTACGTGCTTCGACCCTCGACTGGGAAAAAAAAAAAAGCTTCCATAATTTACCCCAGAAAGGTTGCAGGGCGAAGCTTCCGTCAAAACTTGTTGGATTTTCTTTTTGAAAAGCTGCACATAATACATAAAACCTACGCAAATAAAACACATCGAGTGTACTCGTCTTTTGTGTCCATTTTCTCAAAATTGCCAAATCTTCAAATGCAGACATACACCTACGTGCTTCGACCCTCGACTGGGGAAAAAAAAAAAGCTTCCATAATTTACCCCAGAAAGGTTGCAGGGCGAAGCTTCTGTCAAAACTTGTTGGATTTTCTTTTTGAAAAGCTGCACATAATACATAAAATCTACGTAAATAAAACACATCGAGTGTACTCGTCTTTTGTGTCCATTTACTCAAAATTGCCAAATCTTCAAATGCAGACATACACCTACGTGCTTCGACCCTCGACTGGGAAAAAAAAAAAAAAAAAAAAAACCTCAGTTTCATTCAAGGCTGAAATGCACCACCAACGCGTAATCATCAAAGACAGTCCCATTGTTTTTACCATTCCCCGAAGGGCGACGATTGCAGGCCAAGTGAGGTTAATGACTCAAAGTGCACCCTTCAGTTTTTCGGCCACGAAACTCCGCCTCTTTCTTTTGCCTGGGTGAATCATCCACAACAACACGCTCGTGATGAATCACGGCACATCCTGGTGCAGAGATCAATAGTACAGTCCATCATCAGCGAGGTTGACCCCCTTTTTTTGTGGTCTTCTCCCCCTCTCTTAATTAGCGGCCCCGGCTTGTACTTTGGCGAAATGAATTTATATTGTCTTGCGTGGAACTGATTTTGAGGGACCAGGAATGCAGACAAGAGGGTGCAACGTCTGTTCAGTCGCGGTGTGTTTTAGAAGGTCAGGTTGGGAAGCCGTAGGTCTTCTTTTGATGTTCTTGTCAAGTACGAAACAAGTACCTGTTATGTTTTGCAAGAATATGCAACTGATACATTTTGCCCCCCCCCCCCCCGCCCCCCTTTCCGCCCCCCCTTTCCGCCCCCCTCCTAGACTGAGGATCAGACATTCACGTGTTGAGAGCGACGGTCCAACGTCTGATACATCCTAACATGCACATTTTATGCGACCCCGCGCACCAACCAATCGGAGGCGACTTTAGAAACTGTGATATTGTTTCGATCAGAAGTGTGGACTCAGCTGTTGATTGGTCAATTTGGATGCCATGGTTTTGTAATACAACAGTAGGTAACTGAAGACCAAGGTCAGGACGCAGTCTTGTTTTGCAGAATTAATTGCCAAATTAATCTCATATCATATCCCTTTGCTATGCAAGGGGATATTGATAGACTACCCCCTCCCTCGACTTACTGAAATAGTCTCCTTTACTCACGCCGTTTTTTTATTCCATGCTATAGACATGAATGTATTGCACTGGCAGATCTACAGGAGGGGGAGGGGGTTTAGGGGGCCTAAACCCCCTTCTTGGGCCACAAATGCCAGCATTTTTTTGCAAACAGGTCCAAGGTAAAAAGAGTGACCTTCTCTTATCAAGTCTTCATGTCTTTATGCCAGACAGGTCGAAGCTGCCATTTGCTATCATGCATTTTTTTTTCCTGTCTTGAGTCCTTTTGTGTCATGTGTGTGAATATATCTTTCTAAACTTAACTTATGGTTTTTACCAGCAGTAGAATCAGCAATGTCTTAAATTGAAATTCTTTTTATTTTAAAGTGATTTCAACCTTGTTATTATCTTGTTTATCTCTTCTAAACTTGTTATTGTTCATTTCTGAATTGGTATTTACTTGTCCACTCTAGTTGTTGCACCTACATACTTAGGGTTGCAGACCAGTAAATCGGTCCGAAATTGCCTACGCCGGCCAAATCACGATATGCATGCCCTCAAAATCTTCAGTATTTGAGCATACTGTGGGCCATGAACTGGAGGGTTTGTAAAAAATATGGGTGGAAGCCGTGCACAGGACTGTGAGCTTGTAGTTGCGTTCAATTTGGATGAAATTGGAGCCCTAAAAGTGCTCTATTTTGCAATGGAGTGTAGGCATCGTTAAATTTGGTAAATAGAGGACAGTACTTGAAAAGTCAGGTTTTTTTCCAACGATGTTCAGCTGACCATCATTGGAAATTGATACAAAAATTCCACTTTTCTTAAAAATGACAGCGCACCAGGTGCTATGATTTCACAGGATGCTTGAGACTATTGTTCAAGTAAGGTATTTAATAATAATTTGTTAGTTTTCTTTTTTTTATGTTGGCAAATGTTGTATGTTACCTTTAAAACTTGAAACGTCCAAACTTTGTTAGGGTAAGGAAAGCCCCTTAGGGTTCTACGTGTACGTGCATTTGAATGTATTGTTAGTGGACAAAGTCTGACCATCCAGCCAGGAGCTCTAGGCAGTGTCCTGCCTTGAGGGGACTGGCTCTTTGTCTCTGATTGTATCTCATTAACCCTTGACCTATTTGAGGTCAGGGGTTAACCGGACCGAACAGGTGTCACCAGTGGGGAATGTTTTGGTTCGTGACACACCACCAAAAATTGACCGCTTGTGTAGTGACTCTTCGGCTTGTTAGCCATTTCAATATTGAAATGGAACAGTTTTTTTCCTCTCAATTGAGAAATGCCAAATGTAAAAATGGGATAACTTTTTATTTTTTTTTAATTACGATATTTTATATTTGATATTTAAGTGATGCCAATAGCCAAAGTGAGCCTAGTAAGGAAAATTGTCGAAAAGCAATGCAAATTATCAACAAAGTCAACGCTACAAGCCTTATGTTTATAAGCATTTAAATTTGAACTTCCGGTAAACCCGGAAGTAGAGGTCAAACAAACGATACACAGACAGACAGAAATATCCCTCTGGATAACATTTACATGGTACCTAATTATGAAGTCCATGTGTCATTCCATTGAGGAGATACTGCATCCTTAAAATATTCCCTTTTTGGTCATTTACATGTAGTATGAGAATCCTGTGGCATGTAGTCTGTGAGATATGATGTTTTTAAACACCTTTTCGTGGTTTTCGGCCTGTAATGTGACACCCGATAACGTCATCATGACAACTTTGAGTCAGTGTGCATGTATGTACCAAGTATTAACTTCATATGAACTTGCACATGTACTCCAATAAGTGCAGAAATCACAGGGTGTAAAAAGTAAAGAATAATAATAAACTTAATAGAAACAAGAGGTGCTGTGCCCAAACATCCAATGAAAGTGCTCTTATGTATTTTCCATTCATTGTGTGAAGTGGTCTTCATACAAATTCCACAGATAGTCGACACCCTACAAGCACATTCCCCTTGGCCCATGCCAAATGTTCGAAGTCATGTTTCATATTTTTATTTTTGACCCAAAAAATGTGGCAGTTGCTCCCTTGATTGCTGTGTCATTTCCTCTGTCTCCAAATCCCCCATGGGGAAACATTTCGGTGAGCTGTTCCCCTCTAGTTCCATCCTCCCTGTTGGTGTGAGCTGTCATCCCGAGCCAAGGAATACCCTTTTTTTTTTTTTGCTAGAAGGGTTTACATGTAGCACCTTATCCATAATTCTCAAGGCATTTTTGTCAGAATCAACTGAATCATTTGAAGAAAAAAAAAACCTCTGTAACAGCGGTACATTTTTGTCTACACTACATTTTCAAGGGGCATTGAGCCCTGTGTAAAGTAATAGTGGCTGGGCTCTACCTTCCTCAATCCTACAAAATCTTCCACTGTGTATGAAACCAATGGCACACTCTTTGTACCTACCAAGTTTCAAGTGACATCAATCCCTATGTAAAGTAATAGTGGCTGGGCTCTACCTTCCTCAATCCTACAAAATCCTCCACTGTGTAAGAAACCAATGGCACACTCTTTGTACCTACCAAGTTTCAAGTGACTTCAATCCCTGTGCATTTTTTTAGTGGCTGGGGTCTACCTTCCTCAATCATACAAATTCCTTAATTTTTTTTTGTCTTCAATAACATTAACATAGCATTTTCAACTAGTTTTCACACATATTTTCAACTACATTGGGCAATGAACCAAACTTAGCTTTTGTAGACTCTGATACAGTCACACCTGTGTCATTTTGTTAACCGAAAACCGCAAAATCTATTTTGTCCTGTACACCACTTCCAGTAGAACAAGCCAGATCCAGCTTACTACCGGCCAACGGATTACATGTTAGCCGTCATTGCCCTTGATCTACAATACCCTGCCCCCCTCCCCGAAACAGAAACTGACATCCGACACGGCCATTTTAAGTGAACCTCCAACCCCCCTTTTCCCCCCTCCCCTTTATTTCTGACTTTTCCTTTATCCCCGTCTATCGTCGAGCCGCGCTAATCTCCCGTCTCTGCCTTGTTTCCCCTCCTCTTCTGTACCAGAAAATCTTCCGACGGTGAATCCAAAGTGGCCGTTGACAACCTTAACACCACGCTACGCGAGATCTTAGTCCGGGCTTTGCGGAAGCGAAAGGGGGTCATACCGACGGCAGGTAAAGCTCTTTTTATTTTCTAATTTGTAATTTTTTTTGGCGGGCTGACTGACAGCTGACTTGGGATTAATAATAGTACCGGGTTCCGTAATTTTTTTATTTTTTTCTTTGGGGAGGGGGGGGGGGGGGTGTTTAGGGGGAGGGGGTTAGAGGGATTGTTGTCCGTTCCGGGGACAGGCAATAGGGCCAATTACGGCTGGGGTTAAAATTAGCAAGGTGTTGTAAGAAAGGCCGGGATGGGGAAATATCATTGGCAGGTTTTGGACTCCGATGAGTTGTTGAGGATTAAAGTTGCGTCCCCAAAAAAATTGGCTGATATTCAAAAGGTTATTAAATTGAATTGCATAATTTGATGTAGTTCGCTAGTGGTGAAAGTACACAGGCCTTTTATTTTTGTTATAACTTTCTGATTGCTTTTTTTTTACGTTTAGAAGTGAAAAATGTATTGAATAATTGAGTGCCATTTAAATGGAAAAAAAAGTACTGAAAATTGTGATCCATCTCCTGACTGGTCAATTTAAACAAGAATTTGGAAAATGTTAAAACTTCCAGAGGTTAATGTGATCCACATTATCCTAAACAAAACATAAATTGGGCCAGTAATTGGCTTTCCTGCTTAAAATCATGCCATTATATGATAATTTGTGGACAGAAATCATGTTTCAACAGAGAATGCCTAAATTTATATTAAAAATTCCTTGCACATTTGCAGTACAAGCCTTTTCTAAAAAAAATAACTTCAATCAGTTTGGAAAGATACCAATTTTGAAGCACAGTCAAGAACCAAGGTGTTGTCAAGATACAATCTTCCTCAGTTCATTCTGCCTACTTGCACTGTCCTGTCCAAACTTTTCAAATCCCCCCCCCCCTGCAACACACAGCATCATAACGTGGTGCAATTATGCTTACATGCGCACTGGAGAGAAATGTAAACGGCAAGCGCAGTGCCGGCTGCAATCAATAGCGTGTGCAATTAGCGCGGCGCAAACACCGTTATGGCATATAAATGACTAGTCACGATCAATCACAGTGTCAAAATCAAGAGTTCCTTCTGTTTTGTTTGGATTTTTTTTCTCTCTCTTTTTTTTTTTCTTCTTCTTTATTTTCCCCCATTGCTTGATGGTTGCGGTTAGATTTGGTTCATATGTGCATTAGGATGCAGGGAGTTTGTGTGCGGCTCGCCAGTATCATATCAGTGTTGAACTTGACAAATGCTCTTGTTTGTTGAGTCTACTTCTGTCACACCTGGGGAGGGAGAAATCTGGTGAATTATTAGACGCTGGGGAATCAATGAAATTGCCATCGCAGACATATGGCACCTGGATATTCTGTACACAAACTATCAGGCTGGGGCGCTATTGTACTTGCACTGTTATGGTAGGGTTCACTGCGTATCTTTACATGTTAACTGTTAACATGCAAAACTGTAATGTTGCTGTGTTATTGAAGCTAGCACATTATACCAAGGACAATTTAACATCATGTTGGCTATTTTCATGTGTTATTCTGTCAGTTGACAATTTTGTAAAAATTCTCAGAAAGTGAGCGATACAGAAACAGTTAAATGTACAGGGAATTACGCATACTCAGAAAAATTGAACACAGGTAGTGTGATATGAGCAGTATAGAGAAATCACTGCATTTGGGGTGCTGTGGTCCAATGGTTACAGTGTTCGACTCGTGCCGTGGTGCATGGGTTCGAATCCTGATGGGGAACATGGTGCTTGTGCTCTTGAGCAAGGCACTTTACCATTATTGCTTCGTCCTTCGGATGGGACGTAAAGCCTTAGGTCCCATGTGTTGTGTAACCCAGCAACACTTATCGCAAAGAGAAAGGGTTTGCCTCGGTGTTTCTGGCAGTGGCTGCAATATGCGCCGCAGCACCTTGTACACCCTTTATAAAAGGTGCTACATAATCAGTCTCAAATTGTTCATAAACTTCATTCACCTGTCTTTAAAAATAGACATAATTACCAGCACCTTGAGTACCTTATTGTAGGTAGATGCATGCGCTAAATAAGACTCCTGTATTATTATTATAATTTGTTTATAAAAGAAAGTACAACAGGTTTTTACATGGAATATAAAAGGAGATTTGCTTGAATGGTAGTATTTTTGTCAATTTCGTCTGAATGATTGTAACTTTTCCCTGTGTTTTTACTGTTAGTTCTCAGTCCATAAAGAGTGAATGTCGGTAACGCTTTGAACTTTTTTAATTTGCCTCATGAAGAAGCTTGTAACGAAAGTCCTGACATTGTTTCCGTGTCAGTGGAAGGCCTGAAAAAAACAGAACAACAGAATAATCTGAAACCGTCTTGTCTGTTGTGTCACATGTGAACCACAGTTTGAAGTTCTAAACACACAAGATACAGAAATGTAAATGTTTATTTCCTGTACGGTAGTCATAAAAATTTCAACCGAAACTCACTGTGCGAAAACAGCGTTGATTTGATTTCAACCACGAACAATTCAATCAACTTTGTAAACAAGAAAGTTATCCCATCCATCAGTGTCAATAAAGGAACTGTAGAGTTTCTTCCCTTTTTTGGGGGGGGGGGGGGTTTGGGTCTTTATCCTGGCAGTGACGCCATATACCGTGCCGTATACGAACACTCGGGGCCTTGAGCAGGGACTTAATTACTGCATGAGCTGTGACAGGCTGGCCTGAGCTCATCAGACAGCCAAAAAAAGGGTAAAAGATCTGGCGTCATGTGTCGCCGCAAGAAAGTCAATTATTACACCAAGACGATCAATGTACTTCACTCAAACGAAAGTAAACTTACCCTTTTTCCCAGCCAAGCTTTGTATATATTCCACACAAAAAAGCCAGAAATGTTTTTTTTCTCCTGTTTTGCTGTGGCTGGTCGTATTTTACATTTGGTAGTACATGTATTAATGACAAGGTATCTGGCGAGAACGCAAACAATTGGAAGTGGTTTTTGCTATTTAAAACACTTCCCTGTTCTGAGCACAATTCAGTGCTCCACGAAATTGGCCCCAATGTTTTCTACTATCCACTCAATGGAACTGTTATCGCAACAAAATATTACCAGAAATTTATAAATAAATTCAATGCCGAGCAGAAGTCATTCACAGGTAGGGCTGTGCATCGGAACCGGGTACCCGAGTACCCGACCGCTGATGTCAGGAACCGGTTCCAGATTATGGGATCGGGTACCCGTAACCAACTTTACATAATACTTAGTAACTTCTCAGACAATGTAAAAAAAAGGTTTTGAATGTCATTTGTGGAGAATTTTCGAAATGATAGCTAGGCTGTATGGAAAAACAAAACAGATTCACGTTTACAAATGTATATGACGCTTGTGACAATGCAATTTACACTGTGAAGCTACATGTATTGAGCTCACTGTAGGCCTACACACTTATATCTTGCTGTATCGACTCACCGATGTGATAGTATTATCGTGCAGACCTTATGAGCAATCTGTACAGCAGCTTCTGAGATTTGAATTTTGGGGTTGGGTTTCTTAAACGGGTACCCGGTGGGTTTTTTTTTCAGTCGGGTACCCCATTCCCGTACTACCCGTAAATGCACACCCCTAGTCACAAGCAGTATACATTTGATGCCATCTTTTTCTAGTAAGCTGGGTTTTTTTAAAAACCCATTCTAGTCCCTGTAGCACCCAAAACCATCCAGCCTAGTACTCCCTACACCCCCAAAACCGCCTTAGGGTCCAGACCAGTAAATAGACTGCCATAGATCTTAGCGGTAATTACGCGCACTTCCAAAAAAATATTAACAATGCTCACAACTCTCTGAGGTGTTCAAGACGTACATCAAATTAAAGCTTATTTCATCATCTTTCATTTTATGTTCAATTTTCTGGGGGTTAACCAGTGACTTTTGGGAGAAAATTCCATACAGAGATGATCACCCCTAAAAACTGTCCTGAAGCCCTATCGCCATTTTAAAAATGGACGCCTACACTCCATTGCAAAATAGAGCCATTTTAGGACCTAATTTCATCCACATTTCACAGAAATACGAGCTTGCAGTCCTCTGCACCAACCAACTCATTCGAACCTTCTTTTTCACAAATCATCAAGTTCACGGCCTTCACAATGCTCTAATACCGGAGAATTTGAGGGCATGCAAATCGTGATGGTGTTATGGATCCTTCAGGGAATAGATGCAATGTAATACGATATACCTCAAGGTGCTAATGGGTTAAGCAATTATTTCTTTCTTTTTACAGTTCACATAAATTGCCCCCTCATGTTACCGACCTTAATTAGTTTTTGTTTCTGCAATTTCTAGGCCCAGACTACATCCTGGAGCGGGAGCATGAACCGGGCGTGGCCCTTGACCTTGACACCAAGCTGAGTGACATGAGCTCCTTTGACCTGGTCATGGTCCGTGAACACAGTAAGTGCCGATGGGACCCACTCGCTGACAAACGAGTGGTGAAAATTGTTCAGAAAATAATGAACTTTTTGCAGTAATTCACTTCATTGAAAAGAATGGCATACAAGCGTTTTTGCATATTTGTATTGGACAACATATTTCCTTTTTTTTTTAATAAAGATACTCAAACTGTTTAACTGCAAAGTAGGGAAAGACTTGTCAAAAACTATGGAAGCAAAATGTGCACTGACACTGAAAGATAAAAGTTTCTGACTAAATTTTAGTTCAAAGGTATATAAGAAGACTGTAACGTGATGTCAAAATAATGATATAAACTGCACTGAAGAAGCAAGTGACACATGGTGCCCCTTTTTTAAAAACTTGCTCTAGACTTCATTTAGTTTACACATTTTGAAAGTAACAACCACAATTTAATTTCCTGCACTGCCATTTTTGGGGGTTTATCTTCTCGCTTGCTTTGTAAGTGTGGGACACATTCCCCAGCTGACATGGTACCTAACAGGTTTAAGGCAAACATACACTCTGTTCCAAGTTATCCTTTCAGTCAAAATCAGTCAAGTGACTGTTTTTGTCAACAGTTAAGAGCTCCTAGCCTAGATAAAGCAGGATTGACTGGCTGTGACTAACTATGCTTGTATGTTGTCCTCCCCTTAAAACTTGGCTGCTGTGGGTTCCACAGTGCCCTGCCACATTATTTATCACCAATCAAATTGTTGTTCCAAAGTTGTAAACTTGTTCCCACTTCTTTAAGTGGAACAGTTAAATCAAGAGGAGAGATCTAGACTTGTTTCATGTCTAGCTGTCTCTCCATTTGTAGGTTTAGACACAGTTTAAAAAAAAACAGCCAGGAACTAGATGTCAATTATGTTGTTTTTCTTGAAATTTAAAGTGTGTCGGTTTGCATTGGTAAAAGACTTTAAAGTTTACTCTCAATAGTAGAGCCTTGATGACCTCATGCAATATGTATTGCTGTCCCTCCCAATGCATTGTGCAAAGCCCTTCAAGTGTTGGTAAAGCTCCTGCTTGTGTGGAGAGCTCGGGAGCAGGACTGTCAGTCAGTCACTTAAGGGGCCCCATCCTCCGAGCCGGCAACCAGTCAAGGTTTTTTGAAATGCCAAGTGGTAGTGGAGGGCCCTCTAGGGTGATGGGATAATGTCAACCAAGGGGGATTTTCTAGGAGGGTCTGAGCCCTCTTCATGTCCAGTAAATCCTGGACATGGACTGAGGGCATGGACTGCAGCTTGAAGGGTTTGTGTAGGGGATTTCTGCTGGCTTTTTTTTATATGCTCCGTATTGGACAACTGTTTTATAACCTGTAGTTGCACAGTTTCAAGGCAACCCCTTTTTTCATGGTAAGACGCTCAACAATTTGTATTAGTACCTTTTTAAATGTCACCGAAAGCTATTAAATTATTTGTGGGTTAAATAGGTGAAGAAATTGGTAAAGTGATTCTGCCAGTTTTTATTTTTTTCTTTCTTTGGCTCTGCTTACCGTTGGTGAAAAATCCCTGCATGCTTACTGTAAGCAGAAAAGTCTGTGCTTACGGTTTAGCGTATTTCACAGTTTAAAAAGGAATTTTGGCTTCTGCGCATTTGTTCATCCCAAAACTAAGGATTCTGTGCTTACAGGTTTAGCACAGAATTTTTCAGCTAGCGCGGTTAGCACAAATAGTGATTGTAAGCACAGAATTCTGTGGTTAGCAGAGCCTTGATATTGGGCCCTGATCTCAATGCATTCTAAAAATATATAGCAATGATTTTACTTCCTAACGAAACAAAAAAATTAACAAATGCACATAGGTTGATTCTAAATTTGGTAATAAAGTAACGATGTCCCAATGCTTCTGAAAGGAAGAAGAATGGCTAGCAGGTCCTAATCTAAATACATTGTATAATTTGACTCAACCCCATTCTGTCTGGTTTATACCAGACATTTATTACTGCCGGCCTGGCACGGTGTTGCTAATAAATTAGTGTAGCCGTGCAAGTTGAACACGCACTTTAGGGCTCATCTGTAGGCTGTGAGACAGCTAGTGTCTGGTACGCTGTTGCAAGAACAGCACCGGTGATATATAGCCTAGCAATGCTGTAAGGTCTTTAGCGATCCTGGAGAGAGAATGATGGTTTCACAAGAATGATTAAGACGAAGAAAGTAAGGGAGTACAGCTCAAGACAACTGCACACAAGGAAAAAAACGGGGTCGTGGGGGAGGCAAAAAAAGAGGTGATGATTTAGCGTGAAGGCATTTTGTGGGTTGGTGTACTTGTGTCTTATCCATCATTTAGTTTAGATTTTCATGTTTGTCCGGCCGCCCGTATATTACCAATGGGTTTGACGGCAGGTTTTGAAGCTCAGATTTATTGACGTGCTGGGCGGGGAGTTTTCTCCCTCCCTCTTTTGCTTGCTTTCTTCGGTGATGGATGCTGGTTGTAGACTGATTTCTTGGTGGGATGTCGTCGGTCGGGCGTCCCGGTTGTCATCGCGCGGCAGGAAATTATCAAGGATTATCTGCGCTTTGTCATAATTACGGCGTATATGTGGAGCAGTGCGTCAAGTTAGCCCCTGTTTTTTCGTTGTTTGTAATTGCTTGACCCCAAACGTTCGGCGGTTATTTGGTTAGGGCGGCTCAATCACGGGCAGGAACAGCGTGTTTGCTTTGTTATTTGTCACCGGATCAAGAAGGCAATGAAAATATTAGAGTCCATCCTTCCCCTCCCCCCCCCCCCTACCATTTGATAAAACTATCTTCCCAGGGCTTCCCTTAATAAATAAAAAAAAAATTCATGTTATTGCATGGTGGGAAACTTTTCTTTCCCATTGGTAGTAACCAAATTGGGGTGTCAAATTGGTTGGCCTTTTTAAAGCCTTTCCTAAATGAATACAAGATCAAGGACAGTCTTTTTGTCTGAAGACCTGCGTTTCAGTTTTCTCACAGTGCAAATATTGAGGACTGTAAATCCTGGTTGGAAGTCACAGATGACTTTGGTTGTTTTTTTCCCCCTTCCTTTTGGTGTTCTGTTCTTCAGCAGCTTCACCTTTCTCATGAACCGTGATCCGTGGCTCTAACCTCCCAATTTTTTTGGTCGTTGGCAGCTCCTCAAGGGACGAACCCTGTTCCCCCCTCGCGATAAAAAAAGTTTCCCCAACGGGTCTATAATAATGAGGGCAAAACTGATAGCCTATCCCGCCGCACATAGCCAGCCAAGCAGCCAGGGAATAAAGAATGTTTCGCATCGTGGTTCCGTGACGAATTACCGCGGCGCGGGGGACCGTTGGGGAACCGGGGCTTGGATTACGGTCATTAAGGGATGAGATTCGGTCGTCGGTCGGGGAGGCCAGATTTTGGGGGGCCAGGCAGGATGATTTATTGCCGTCCCGCGCGCTCGGGTTTTTTGGTCCCAGCACTGAATGCACTTGGATTAGGATCCAAATTGCTAGGACCAGCAGTGGAATGATTAGTCAGTATTTTTGTCAGATGCCTACAGTCGGACTCGGTCTTGTCAACTACGTTGTGTACCAGCACCTTTTTCTACCTGCATTTTCCTGCATCACGTGTTATTGGCAATTAAAAATAGGAATCGTCAAATTTAAATTAATCGTGGATTAGATTAATCTAGGTATTTGTTGTATCCTCAGTTGACCATATGTTCTGTTAATCCAACTGCTTCGTTTGGCAATATAATATCAAAGACACAAGCCAAAAATAAGTCCCAAACTGGTGGCTATGAAATTCATAACATATGAGTCAGTATCATTGTTTTCCTTTGGTGAGTGGGAACTTTAGAATATTTTAGGCTGGCTTTGTGGAAGAATTGCTTTTGCCTTGATCAGGTTTGATGCACAGGCTCAGCACAGCAACATTTGAAATACAGTGTCCAGAAATAAAACACTTCAGTAGTACGCATGGAGAGACTTCCACAACATTTTTCAGTTTTCTCAGTGATTTTTCAAACAGAAAGTTTGAGCCTCAAAAACGAGGGAAGATAAGTGCCTAATCCCCCTTATCTCTGTATTAATTGTATCCCATGAACATTTAAGTATCCCAAGAGAAAAATAATCGAAAGAATATTTCATTATATTAAAGATAATCAGAATTTTTTTTATCCAGTTCACTGTCCTTCCTCGTGCATTACACGTCCATTCTTACATTTATTCTTGCAAATTGGGGAACATTGCAGCATGGGTCAATACAAAATGTAGCAGTCAATCTATAAAAATTAAAACTACTAGCACTCATGTTTTGCAAAACTTATCTATAGAGTCTGAAGGTCTAGTAATTACTCTACACAATGGTCTTTATCCCATCTCATTTGGACACCCCAGTCCAGAGATACAGCTAATGAAATGAAAAAACTTTAATTCCAAGTTGGGCCATATTACAGATTATCTGGTATATACAGAAAGGCATTCACATGCCAAGGTGTGTACGAATGCCTTTCATTAGATACCAGATAATCTGAAAAGTAGCCCAAACAGATTTTGATGGTCTTAACAAGCTTTGCCTTAACTTTTAAACAAAAGGTCCAAATCACACAGAACAAAAATCCTGTCAAGGGTAAAGAAACACTCTATCATCTCATGGTTAATTTTTACCACCTCAAAAAACATTTAGTTTCCTCAGAAAAAAAAGTGTTGTTTGATTGCTACATTTCTTTTGAGACACGCTGTCCATCCAGCTGTATTGTTGCATGGTCGTAGTAAATATATTGGGCCAAAAATTTCAAAGAGTCAATTTTGGTTTTAATTGTTTTGTCCTCTTGTCCACAGGCAAAAGGGACTATGGCAAACAGGAGAGGGTAAGGCATGTATCCACAGTGGAACCACCGCTGGTACTCAGCACACAGTACAAATCCTACAGAATCAACATGCTGCACAGATTGAGACCAACCACCGAGATCCAACTTGGTAAGTTTTTTTAACATATCACCCAAACAAAAAAAGCTGTGGCACTTAAAAAACCCAAAAAAAAACAAAGCCAAGGAGATTTGAGAAGGGAAAAGCAGCATCTTTTGGTGTTTCAGAAGATACTCTGGAAGGAAAAACTAAGATAAAAAGTCCAATCTTAAGTTCTGGTTGGAGATTTTTGTATGAAATTACCATCACCTGAAGATACTCCAACCATCCTTTAAACCCTGTTGAGTTTCATGCTGTATCAAATGAATATATACAACATGCCTTTAACAGTTATCAAGAGAATGACCAAACTGGACCTGTATCTGAAATCCATTGGTTCTGAAATCCATTGGTTCAAAATCCCAGTCTGGTGCCTTGCTAACAAGCCTACCCACCAACACTTGCCATCTCCATATGACTTACCCCACAGGAGTGTCCGGGGACAAGATCGAGATAGACCCCGTCTCCCAGCCCAAGACCACCGCCGCCAAATTCTGGAGTAGCAAGCAGAAGGCGGTTTCCATAGATACCGACCGACTGGCGGCCTGCGCCATCACGGACGAGAAGCCCTCAGGTGAGTCGGTGTGGAAGTAAGACGACTGGCGACCGGTTTCCTACCGGTCGCCGGTTATACTTGTCAATCATACCCAGAGACTCGTGAACGCTCCTCGTGTAAAGATAAACTTGTCACTCTGTAAACCTCTGAATTTCATCCTCCGGTGGATCTGGAAATTACATGAATGTCACATCAGACGCTCGCCTGCCTGCGCAATACAGCTACATGCAGCATTATTGGAATTATCCGAATCTAATAGAAGAATGTATGATAAAATTTGAACGCTTGTATTTTAGGAGAAATGTGCCTGAAGCATTTCCGAGACGTGTGATTATACAGACTGTAGTCTGAAATCAGACTTTTTGAATCTGAGAAAAACACATCATCAGCATAGAACAAAAATTCATCTTTCAGATCTTTCAACCAATTTTCATACTTATTTTATAAATTAACAATCTCATCCCTAATTTAATATACATAACCACATGGATAACAAAAAATGTTAAGATGCATTTTGAAAATAATATTTTTTGTTTAGATAATGAAAATACATGTATGTTACTTATTTTCAATTTAAAATGTGTCATTTCTGCTTCTGCTTTTTGTTTCACCGCAAAGAACCGTACCAGAGTTTATAGTGAAGCGATGTAAAAAATACCGATGAGAAAAAGCCTTGCTAAACACTTCATTGTTATTGAGGGGGAAAAAATGTTACAATGAACAAAAATGTACAGTAATCTTTGCACGATCAATACGTGGCCTTGGTTCCTGCTGCTTTATACAGAAGAGTATGTTTGCTTTGCCTGTTGATGCATAAAAAAATTGCGACCAAAATTTGTAATTTTTGTAAGTACTGCCTATTTCTTAATGCTACCCAGCCAAAATGCTGCACTAAGTAAATATTTTGGTTGGAGGGCTGGTGCACTGACAAGCAACCAAAAGCAATATCGATTGTGCGGCCAATTCGTACGGTAACCAGAAGAACAAGGTACCGAGGTCTTTATCTAAACAATTTTTGGAGTGTGCGAAAACCAATCAATGGCAAATTTTCCTAGTGACCGGGGAGGGAGGGCGCACGCAACTTTTCCTGTATGAAACCGGATACTTTGAAAATCAACACTAGTGTCGCATTCCTTACTGGTTCCCTCCCCCCCCCCCTCCCTCAAAAGAAAAAAATCAAGACCTCAATTTTCAAAATTACAGTGCCGCAACAAAAGCCGAGAGGATGCCGTTTACGGAGGTGGAACCACCAGTAATGCCCTAGTCAAAGTCAACATTGTCGTAATCTCAAGTTACGATGATGTCCACCACAAAAGGGCAGCCCATCTTCAAAGACTGTTTTTTTTTTCTGTCTGTGTGTCTATTCCCGCGTATTGCTCCCGTTCCAGAAACAAATTTCAGATATATCAAAACAAATCAAGCCGGCTTTCATATGAGATATCCTGACAAGTGCAAATATTGTGTCAAGCATGACCACCGCCAATTTGAAGGGATTCCGATTTTTTCCTTTAATACTGGTCAATAATTGTCACACGTACGTCAGTCAGTCACGGAAAGTGTTTGCGGTTGGCAGCAGATTTAGTGTCGCTTGCCTCCTATGCAAACTGGTCAAGAATGAAAGTGTCCATCATTTGGAAAGTAACCTGAACATCAAATAGGTTTGATCCAGATTTTGTCTCAATGAGTTACAGATAATCCAAATTCGAGTCACCACTTAAAACTTGTTCAGTGCTCCGAGACATAATGAAAAAAATATATATCAGAATCGAGAAGAATATCGAAATCGAGAAAAGAAAAAAAAATTGTAAAAATGTTTGAGGATTGTTTAGCTCAGCTTTCTCTTTCGATTGCATTGCATGGATTCCGCAGATCAATTTATCTGCGCTTGCAGCATTGGCCACTAGTTGCTGTGTGTGTCCCCCCCCCCCAGGTTTGCTTACACGTTCTAGCGAGCTGCCGAACTAATCAAAGCGTGGCTTGCGCAGTCTTGATCACTTTTCTGTAATGATTTACAGGGGAGCGGAATGAGTAAATCCAGCGCCGTGACAGGTGTAAACAAAGCTCGCTTCCCGCCGCACACACACACACAGAGGGGAAAGAGTACAGGCTCCTCCTGGCTTACTTCCTGTCCTGTTGTTGTCTTTGGAGCTTGGGTCACAATTTCCAAACCGAAGGAAGAAAGAAAAAAAATCATCTTTCCTTTTCTTAATCAGCCTCGCAAATAATCAGTATCCTAGAGTAAACTCTATCTGTCATCAGTGTAATTTCTTCTCTTTCTGTATGTTTGTGTAATTTTGCCACCAAAAACAAGATTGAGCTTCCGGCCGTTGTACTTTCTTGGATGTATGCAGATTTTCAAATAAATTACCGATCACGGTTTTGCTTTTTCAAACGTTGATGGCAAGAGCGATTTTGGAGACCTACTTTTGGATTTACGTCGATTTATTAGGAAATCAAAAGTATGAAAGATCTGGTCTCAGTTGATTTAACTCACAAGCTTCAAATAAGAGAGACATCATTCAGGTATGGTCTGATGCCATTTCTGGCCCCTTCTCGCCCACCCCCTCACAGCTCACAACTCATCAATCGCTCCGTGCAATATTAACCCTCACTCTTCTTCATTTCCTCTGTGGCGCTGTCTTTCTCTCTCTCTCTCTTGCGCTCTGTCTCTTGCCTCCCTCCCGGCCTCAGGAGGCGACCACTCCTCAGGCAAACACGCCGCTTGTCTCCGGGCCGTATCGCGTTCCTGGGCCTGCCATTTTTCTCCGGCGATACACCTGAAGTGCAAAGCAAATATTTGGCCGGAGGAATTAAGCAGTTGCCGGCACGCAATGTTATGATTTCCATCCCCCCCCCCAAAAAAAAGGGAGGGGTTGGAGGGAGGATAAGGAAAAAAAAAAGACGAGTCTTGGTCGACCTAAAAATGCACAAAACATTGCTTTTTTTAACTTGTCAAAATAGAGATCATCTTTCATTTAGGAAAACATTCTCAAATCCTTCATTTGCACATTTGGGTTTATTTTTAAAAAATTCTTAATTTACTATGAATTGGTGAAGGCAAAAGATGTTAGTCATAGGAAGATGATCTTACAATACAAAGTTGCCCCAAAAAACAGGTGTAGACAGTCAAAAAGCCATTTGAATTATTTTTGTAGCATCTATACATGTATTTTCATTATGTACATTAACCCACCTATGCAAACATACATTCTGTGCCAAGTTGTGCCAAGAATTCCCAGCCCACATAAAGCAGGATTGACTGGCTGGGACTGTTTAAGTAACTTGATACAGCTATGCTTTGACTCCCAGTGAGTGATAAAACAGCTGTGACCACGACTTGCCTGCTTTGTCTGTTGACTGAGTTTGACTAGTCACAGTGCTTGCTTGACATTACGATCGGACTGCTGGTGACTAGCTTTTGTTAATAGTATAGCAGGGGAAGTGGAAGTGGATGTTGACCGTCTGTGACAGCTTAAATAGCAGGAGGGTTAAACAGATAAATCCTCAAAGGTCCCCCATAATCTACCCGGGAGACTTTGGAGAATTGTTCATGTTTACTTGAAGGTACAGCCAAGCTACATTTACATTTGGTGCCTAATGTGCCTTGAAAGGTATGAAAGTGCTCTGGGGTTTGGGCACAATAGTGGGTTTTTTTAAGATCCAGAAATAATCTTTGCAAAGATCCAAATGAATTAACGCTGCTGTAAACTTCATGCCAGTAGAAATGTGAAGCCATTGAAGCAAAATTTGCCAGAGTTAATATGCTTAACTCTTTGCAAATTCTGAGCGAGAAAAATGTGACATGATGTCACAAATTCATGCTCATGTTGCTGTTTGCACCGAGTATGGACCAACCCTTAGGGGTAACATTGTCTTTACATGTTTCTCATCATAGGCAAGACTGTTTTCCGCCTGACCTACAAGAGCGTCAGCCACGATTTCAAGCATCGGGACTTTGAGACAGACCACCCGACGGCCAAGCACATCGTCACCAAGATCAACCAGATCCTGGAGCTGCGAGCCAGCGCCGTACGCAACGACTACACGATATGGAAGGACCGACGGCACAGCACTAAGAGACACCATGACAAGTGAAGCTGTGCAAGTGTCGGTTAAGGGGCCGTTCTCCATTGTGCATTGTTACCGGATTTCGTCCGGGTAAAAAAAAAATCGCAATGTATTGGTACACACTGCTTGCGCACATATCATGAGGTAGCATTTTTCCAAAATATCTCAAATTTTTCCAAAATACTGTTGAGATATGGATTTGCTTTCTGATTCTGCAATCAACACATTGTCGGCTATGATGTTATGTAGATTGCCCACAACATCTCTCTGTAAGCCGTCCATTAATTTGCATAAATTTACATGATTCTGCGCAGGTTTACGCCAATATACAAATTTTGTACTTCTGTGCGACATGCTGCTGAGGAGGGGTGAAGGGGAGGTGGTCATATTATTTGTATGCAAGGGCTAGAAACTGCCTTGAATTTAAAGGATGAACACATGATGGCATTAGGCAAAGAAAGTCATCAAAATATTTTGTTTTTCAATATGGAGAGTTAAAGAGAGGAGCGTTGAACTTCATATTGCATTAGGGAGTGTGATTGTCAGGTTCGTGTGGCAGTTAATTGACGGTGTTTTTTATTTGTACCAAGTACATGTAAGTGCATGTACTGTTGTAGTGCTATGTGGAGAGTGAGAGTGTTTTCTTAAAACTTGAAAGCATAGATACAACAGTGACTTGGCATTTCAGGCTACTGGCTTTGGGGAAATTGTGGACCAAGTTTTATCTAAGTTTTTTTACCCAAAAGTCATTTGACCCCCAAACCTTTTTGTGACGTTCTTTAAAACAGAAATTGCATCCACACGATTTATAAAAGAGAGCAGGTAATGTCCCCAAGATGATTTGGTACCAAAATTATTCACAACATTTCAAAATCAATTACCTGGAGGTTGAAGTAAAAACTATTATTTGTATTCTATAAAAAAAAAAAAAAAGTCACTTCCTACATATGTTAGCAAAGATTTGTATGTTTTCCTTGTACTGACTACATACTGATACAGTTTACATTGTGTCAGTAACTTGTTATAACATGTAACTTAATTCTTTAAACCACTTTTTTCAGGTTTTATTTTTTATATGGTCTCACTGTATTGAATTATGGATTGCAATTCTGTTGCGAAAATTATTTGGTGAAAACTGACCATTGCTCAACAGAGTGAATTTGTATGAATGAGTTGTGAAATATTTGTGTTAAGTAAGATTTGAGGCTTTGCATGGTGAAGATGCTAAATAATGAAAGGTTTGCGGAAACACCATGTGCGAATAATTTCTCAACTAAGAGAATGGTTCTGAAAAGAACCAGAGGTATAAACTCGACGTTCCGGTCAGTATGCTCTGTTACCGAAATGCATCATTTTTTTTCCTGCAGGTGAAAGTTCATAATGTATACTTCAATGTAGTCCCTGTATCTGAAATGTCCCCAAATTACCCAAATATTTCTTCCTCTTTTTTTTTTTTTTCATTGCAAAAAATGTTTCGCAGGCCAATTTAAAATTGAAGAATTTGATTGCAAAATCTATGTTTTACACCAATCATTTGGAAAAGTTGTAAAAATCAGGTTTGCAAACACAACCCCTTTATTTCTCCTTAAACACTTTTATCAGGAACTGAGTGTTTTCAGTTGAGATCTTTTTTCGAATCCATTTTGTGTATGGGGAAGTTGTATGGAATGGCAGAAGACAAACTTCTTTTTACAATGCGTCCATGTTTTCTTTATGTACAACTATGTGATGAAGAACTTTGGGATGTAATGTCTTGTGTTTACATTTTTTTTTTTGTAAGCCTTCGCTGTGTTGTATTGTTAAGTTTTTTGAAAATGGATACTGGGTCTAATGCTGTGAAATTAACTGCGTTGCATCACTAATCACTGTACATCTGTGGAAATTGTTGACACCAAAAGCAACATTTAGTAGCAAAATGACATTGTGATGTTTCAGTAAATAATATACAGTTTGATAACATCAATTTGCACTACATGTATGTGTGTGCCTATGGTACATAGAAAACAACATGTCTTCATTCCGTGTGATAAAACACCGCAGGGTCCAGATGACGTACAAGGCCCAGACGTGCTACATTTTATTACGCACCAGGGTAACAGATTTGTGTTCAAGCATACTTATTATAATGTAAACAAGGCAGCGACAGTTATAACATAAAAATGCTGATAAATGGCAAATATTTTGTTTTGATTGAGGGCAAATTCCTCTGTATGTTGCTGATGTGCTGACCACAACTTAACTATTAGTTCAAAATGAGAATACAATTGGAAAAAAAACACAGGTTGATACCGTTGAACTTAAAGGCTTTTGAAAGCAGATGGGAAGTGGTGCACAAGGGATGGCCTTGTATGAATGCAGAACAGGGCCCAACTTCGTGGCTCTTTTACCCACAGAATTCTGAGCTTCCGAGCAACATTCTGTGCTAACAGCGCTAGCAAAAAATTCTGCTGTAAATTTGTAAGCACAGAATCCTGAGTTACCGGATGTGCATGTGTACATAAGCTAACATTCCTCGCTATCTTGTGAAATACGCTAACCGTAAGCACAAAATCGTCTTCTACAATAAGCAGGGATTTTGCCCTTACAGTAAGCAGAGCCGTGAAATTTGAGTGACTATGGGTTTCTATTAAATTTAGGTTGCTGTGAATTGGCCAATTAACATCAAGCGTTCAAGTTTCCCGAGGAAAAAAATTGACCATTTTTAATACCGATGAAGACTTTGAGAGATTGTAACATTTTACTCCTTGAGTTTGTCAATTTTCCTCCACAGATACTCTACAGTTTGACCTGCCAGTAGCCACCACTGGTAGTTTTAAATCTCTCGTTATTAAGAATGAAAAGTCATATTTCAAGCTTCAGCCAAACATGTATTTACTACAAACTGTTGTTTAACCTCTTTGCTAGTCAACTCATGGTACTGAAATAAGTCTGAAACAGCTTGTTAATAACTCACTGCAGTAAATTGTTATAAATTCCCTTTGGAAACAATGTACTTACGATCATCAAAAGTAAAAAATTTAAAAAAAATGCCTCTTCTTATCAAATTTATTTGGCCAGAGAGGTGCCACCACATCATTATTCATGTAAATATTTTAAATATGAAAGTTAATAATCATTAAAACAAAAAAGAGATGAATATATTATATTAATTTATGCATGTGATGTGTAAGGCACTTTGGATGTCTAAATTTGTTATGTAAACAGAAAATGTGCTATAACTATTATTTTGTTTTGAAAAGGTTGAATAAACCTCTGATGCCAAGAGATACGAAACGGATGCGTAATCTTTTCTAAGTGCAACAGTTTACCATGAAAACAGACACAGTTAGGGGAACTCGCACAAACTAAGACTATATGGGGATTAACTAACCAAACTATACTAAACTCGGGATCTTTGAAGGGAACTGTCGTGAGGAAATTGAATTAATAGAGACACAGACACAAATTCTAGACTTCAAACCAAAAAAACTGACAAAAAATGATTTATTTACAAGAACTTCAAATCAAAGACCAATAACCGATACCATAAAATCAAAACTAAAGATGAAGACCAAAACCTTTAACCTAAAAACCAACACAGTGTGTATAGTGGATCTTTAGAAAATACACTTTGGCAGAAATCAAAGCAAATGACTCGTCAACAGACCAACTTCAAGCAGAACGGGCACTCCAGTTAGCAGGAAAATATATGCATGTATTATGTCTATTGTCTGCTGGCTGAACAGAAGTGTGGCTTGACCATGTGGCAGCTTTTATAGGGGGAACATGTGGGCTGAAGTAAACAAACAGGGGACACACTACCAACAAAAAGGGGGGGGGACATCCAAACTAAAACTAAAATGATAGAACTTTGATCAGAAAGTTGGTTTCCTGGCATCGGCTGAACCAAATGATGACAAATCTTTTTTCCCCAGACATCCAAACTAAAACTAAAATGATTTTCTTTTTCTAAGGGGAGCTACTCCTATATAATACACTATAAATACATGAAAAGGTACAAGTAACAACTGGCCCTGCCACACATACACAAGCGTCCCCTCATTGGTAACAAAGAGTTAAGGCAGGTTCATACTCAGCTCGAACACAAACGTGTAACGCTACGTCAAGTCTTCATGCTGCGAAAAAAGTTGAGCATATTCCGAATTTTGCAACGAATGTTTCGTGACGTCAAATTCGTTTCGCACTTGTGTTTATGTGAATTGTGAACTGATGGCCCTTAGACTAGACTCTCTTTAAAGGGCCCATGCAATATAGTTTTTTTTTTAATGCAATATTTGAAAATGCACCTTTGTGTCCCGTTTAACTTTATTTAAAATTTTCGTTTTGCCATTTTCTAGGGTAGTTTGGTGCTTTTTTGTTTGTTTTGTTTTTATGCTAATGAAAATTTCCATATTCATGAGCAAAAGTCATTTTCAGGCAGAAACCTCAGTGTTACAGCTATCTCAAGATCAAGAGTTTGGATAATTTGCTGTTTCTTTGGTGATTCGTTGTTGTGTCAGTACATGGCAGTAAGCCAATGAGCAAACTTTTCTCACAAATGTTTTCAATGAGCAAGTTTTTTGGATCACAATTTGAACAGAAAACCCCTAAATTGAACAGTGTCTTCCTGAAATGACATCACAGCATCAGCGCCCTCAGTTGTCGGGAAAAAATGCATGGGAAAATTTATAAATGTTTAAAGAAGTGCACTTTTCAATGAAATTAACCCAAAAAAGGGATGTCAAACAGTTTTCATATATTTCAGAAGAGTGGAAAGTTGCACAAAATGTGTTCCTAAGAAAAGTTCATCTCATGGACCCTTTAATGCATGGATGATGTATGCCTGGCTCTCTTGTGAAGACAACAATGTTTTGTGCACATTCAGATCAGTGGCGCACCCAGGATTGGGGGGGGGGCTCACAATTTGTTTGTCAAATTTTGTAGAAGTTAAAAAAAAATTAAAAATTTAGCCCAAAAATTTTGGCCTCAGAAAGTTTTTTTTTTTTTTATTTTTGGGGGGGACTGGTTTTTTTTGCGTAGGTGGCACCACTTACACCCCTATTATACTACTCGAAAACCGGCCACATTCATATCACCAAGGCCAAATCGTGGGACTAAACAAAAATTACCCCCCCCCCAAAAAAAAAATGACAACCTCTTGGGGGGGGGGGGGCGTCATGCCCCCTGAGCCCTCCCCCCCTTTGGTGCACCACTGATTCAGATGAAAGTTAAACGTGTGTCATTTGCACCATACCTGCTCAGAGCAGTACATGCAGTATGCTGGCAGTGTGCCCATCCGCACAGCTCTCATGAGGAGTCACACAGTAGAATCTAAAGTTCATGTATTAAGTCCAAACCCTTTCAGTTCTGACATTTGTGGACTTGTGATGCTGTAAAGCCTATAAATGTGCTTTTCTGGTAAAACTAGGTTAATTAGGTTGGTGTGACTTTAAGCAAAAAAAATAAAAAAAATAAAATAAAAACCACAATTAGGATCAACTTGTTTGGCATCTTGGCCACAGATATTATGCGACGCATTTTTCCCAAAAGCAAGAGACTTAAAGCGTGATGGAATCTGGCCAGTTAAGTCCCAAACATCCCAAAGACTCGTCGTCGTGCCCATTTAATTTCTCCTGGCACATGTTGTCAGCCTATCTGTTCCGTGCAGTTTCGCAGGAAGGAGACCCGTGCACCCTCTTGAATTATGGGAGACGACAAATCGGGTTTCCCTGACGATATCAAGTGGCAACAGTTTCTAGGGCACCATGCTTTGCCTCAAATTCGGAACAGGCCGGCAAGCCAGTGATTTATAAGTTGACAAGGTGTTCAAGCTGAGGTCTAAAAATACTGGGGACTAATTGATGGCGCACACTAGGTGTTAGCAACAGAGGATGCAGAACAAGCATAGAACCTCCCCCCCCCCCCCCCCCCCAACCAGCCATAAAGTGTGTTTCAGGGATACTCTGATACATCAGCTACATTGCTCCAAATTACAGAGAGTTCCACAGTGATATTTCCATAACTGTTTCTCATTTGAAATTATCAGTCAGTAAGTGAAACTTCTACCTAGTGGATGTTGCACTGTGATGCTGTGTTGTAATTTTCTCTGAGAGGTAAGTGCCTACAAACATCCACACAGTAATCTGTGCATCATTTCAGATAGTGTTAATTGATGAATGTATGATTGAAAAGTGTTCACTAAATCAAATTTTATTTCAGGTTTTGCTCGTCACCGGTGTCATTTAATAAACACTGTATACTCAGTGTTGTCAGAGGGCTTGGGAGGAAAGTTTCACAAGCTTACTCGGGTGGGACTCGAACCCACGACTACCTGTTTACTGGGTAAGCTGGTTATAGGTCACTGTTTGTTAATGTCTGTAAAAGTTCCAGAAGATTCAGAATCTGATGCCCTGATATGCTGCACACTGTAAATGTATGTATGAAAGATGTTGGAATCACAGTACTATGTTCACTGC